AGTAGTAGTAGTAGTAGCAGTAGTAGTAGTAGTAGTAGTAAGTTGTTGAATTTGGAATGTTTAAAAACAGAATAATTTGTAATACATAAACTTGAAACATCAGCAGCAATAAAACCCATTAAAAATCCAGCTATTGGACTGATTTAAGCTAAGTGCAAACGATATTCATCTCATTGACAAGCATTAGAAAAAAAAACACTCAAAATGTGGCGCATTATGCAAAATTTTTTCACTTTTGCTTTTCTTTTAACTTTCAGACAGCTGCGGGGAACGGGTCTGATAGGGGTGGGGGAAAGGGGGGGGGGGGGGGAAATCAATGTCTATGCATGTGAAGCGGAGAATGTCAGTGGTTGTTGGTAAAATCAGCCAAGTAATTGTCGAAAGTTTTTAACGTTTGTTAACGTTTGTTTGGGCTGCTCTCTCCGGTCAAAGAATTTTAGGGCTGTGAGGGAGGGATAGGGAAGAAAATAGCAAATGTTGAATTTGAATTTTAGACAAGCAGTTTGTTGTCAAATACACGTAAATGATATTGACAGAATACTTAACTGACTGAATCATTGTTTTTCTTGTTATCAGCATTTACAACAGACAACTTTTTTTTTAACCGAAATTTTAAGCTTATTTTGAAATATCAGTATTTTACTGGTCCAACTAACTCTGCAGTCTTCAATTTTTTATCGTCTTCGCTTGAGAATGATGATGAAAATGACAAAAATAGTGCTTTTCCTTCCAAAATAACATGCCTATAAATATGTTAACGGTGAAAGGCAGCAGTTGTTGGTCAATTCTGATAGGGTTATTGTATAATATGTTTTTCAGTATTATCTGCATAAACTGTTATGGAGATTCCTAATTTCATTCTATGGTCTTGTTAACGTGACTTTTAGATATTGCAGAAACAAAGGTCTATCGTTGACAGGTCTCAATGTCGGCATCAAATGCTTTGGTTTTCAGCTTCAAAACTTTGTTTGTTCCCCGATGTCTGTCTGTTGGTTCAGTGAACAGAACTTTAGCAGCATATCGGCGTCAGTATCACACTTTGAAAACTGGGCCTGAACCTGGTGACAAAATAGTGGAAATAGCCGAAGTATGCGTGCACTTAGTTTATATTTTTATCTTTTGATAATTTTTTGAAATAGTTAAGGGTTTTTCTAGTGCTTTTCTTTTTAGCGTCTAAATAAACACCTTTATTTTGTACTCAAGAAGAAAAATTAGTGCACTAGAATGTTTCAGTTTCATCCACTTCACTCTTTGTTAAATTTTAATCAGAAGTTTCAGGTGAAAAGATTTATGGTAGATGTTATGACAGCTGTTGAAACAGATAAAGCTCATTCTGAGCAGTTGGCTGATGTTTTGGCAGAAGCCGATATGCGAGGACACTACAGTCATGGTTTAAATCGACTTGGTATGGCTAGTCCTCAGAATATTATGTTAATATTGCTTAATCTTTTTTTATCTTTCTTCTTCCTAACTCCTTAATCTCTTCTTTCTTAAGAAGTTATCCCGCAGTTGATTATTGCATATTTAAGATATGTATATGAGAGATATTAAAGAAAAAGCTTGTAAAAACAGCGGTAAACCAGAGGTACTTTGCGAACGTGCTGCTACCGCTTGGGTAAATGGGAATAACCTTCTGGGGCCTGTAGTAGGCAATTTTTGTATTGATTTAGCTATTCAAAAAGCCAAGCAGAGTGGCATTGGATGGGTGGTTGCTAATCGTAAGTTAATTTCTTCTACTCCATCTTACACTGTAAAATCACATTTTATTTATTTATTTTATTTTTTTGATGGTGTTGTAGTTAAAAGAAGTTTTTAAGCATTAAATCTTTGGGATTAATTACATTACAGGTTCTAACCATTTTGGTATTGCCGCTTACTACAGCATGAAAGCTGCTAGAGAAGGCTGCCTCGTGAGTCATTGAGATAGTTCAAACAACAGTAGTTGTGTAAATTTAATATGCATTAATTCCTTGAATGTCTTTGGATAATTTTCAGTGCTTGAGAAAGCGTTAAGTGGAATTAGGGGAGTCTGGAAAAATACTATTAACTTTTTAAGAGACCTTATAACATTTTATCACATCGTTTTTGTACATTGCTCTTTATTATGAATGTAATTGACTTAAAGCTACTGTTTCAGTTATTTTTTTGACACAGATATTACATCTTTCTGCTCGTAATCCTTCCTCAGGAATCTATATTCTATATCAATGAGATTAACTTATTAAAGTAGTGAGAAGACGGTTGAGCACATTTTTGTTGAATATTTCGTTCTGCGCAGTTATGCTAAGCTTTTTTAAGGGATTAGAAGCATCTCAGTGAAGGGATGGCAAGAGGTGGCTGGGGAAAAAAAAATCACTTTAAATTTCTTTAAACCGGTTTTTGTGTAGCAGCACTCCAGTTTAGTTTATCGTAATTTGTAGACAGAACTTAGAAAGCTTTAGCACTGAATGTCTTGACTAGCTGGGCAGATATTTTAAGAGAAAGCGTGCAGAGAATTGCGTGAGTTTCTATTCAGATAAGTATGCTCATTCAAAAACATCTATTCACTCACTTGTAGTCAGCCATTATTCTGGTAATAGGTAGTTGTTAGTTAACCATTTCCTGCCTAAAAGATCTTTCAGGAAAACTAATTACCGAAGACAAGCCTGAATTACGATTAATAATTTATATCATTTTTTAAAGCTGAATGAGGGCCAACAACAATAACTGTTTTTTGTATACGTGGTACAAATCTTATTTTCAATTCATTATATTATTAAGGTTAGAATTAGTTATTGCCGCTTAAATGTGCCGTAGTTTGCAAACAAAAGCGATGTGATAAAGTAACGAGATAGTTTGCCAATCGACTCTTCAATAAATAAGATAATTTCTTCAAACTGATTTTGCTCTTACACCTTTTACTTCTAGGGTTTGGCTTTCACTAATACTTCTCCAATAATGTACCCAACTAGAGCCAGTACACCAGCGTTAGGTACCAACCCTTTAACCCTTGCTGCTGAAGGTCTCAATGGTGATTCTTTTGTTCTTGATATGGCTACGACCACTGTTGCTATTGGAAAGGTTTAAGCCTTCATCAAGTTCCACCGTTTGGAGTTTTAGGGTTAAATTAGCGGTTATCATCGCCATCGCTAATTGGTTTTAAAGTGTAAACTAAGGCTTTGAGAAAGGCTTTGAGAAACTGATAGTATCTCTTGGATCTAAAAAAGTTCATTCTTACTTGATACCTCCGTTTTAAATAACAACTTTTTCTCTTTGGTCTCTACTAAACCTCAATGTAAGCTATGACATGAGAAATGACCACTTATGTTGTACTCATTAAGGTTGAGATTGCAAATCGGAAAGAAACGTCGGTACCTAACAGTTGGGGAGTTGCTGCTGGTGGTAAGGTTACAACAGATACCTCTAAAATATTGCATGGTGGTGGCTTGCTCCCACTTGGAGGTTCGGAAGAATCTGGTAAGCGAAAACAGTAATTCACAAAAATTATCGGTTATTTCAACTCTATTTTTTGTTTAAACTGTGAGGAAACCTTGTCTTTTGCTGTTATACATCGATCTTTTTGATGCCAAAATTTTTGTTTATTTAGGAGGATACAAAGGTTATGGTTTGGGAGCTTTAGTGGAAATCTTTTGTGGTATTTTATCAGGATCTCATTGGGGGCCAAATGTACGCAAGTGGCTTTCGACTTCAGCAGCTGCTGATTTGGTAACGCTTGACTCGCTGTGGCTGTCTGGTTATTTTAAAAAATTATAAGTAATTTATTATAAGTTATCTGTAGTCTGTCTAACCTTCCAGCGATGGAGAAACATAAATTTTTTTTTCTAGGGCCAGTGTTTTGCTGCCATTGATCCGGATGCATTTGCTCCAGACTTCAGAAAAAGAATGCAGCAGTTTATAGATACAATGAGAGGCTTAATGCCGGTAAGTTATTGACGGTAATGAGGCATCAAAGTTATTCATTTTAATTGACTGGTACATATGCTTTGTTCATTTTAAACGTGTTTATCATTTCTTTCTTGACACATTTTTGAAATAATAAACAGCAAACACTATTGTCTAGACATCTTTACAGTGGTTTTAGAATTGTGGTAGAAAGTAATAATCAATTAAATGGTTATTGAAATGTAAGCGTTTTATAATCTACTGGTTTCCCACAACTGCCATGAGGGTCGTAAAGCTTTACCTTGCTTCTGCTTTCAGGCTGGTGAAGAAAACGTACTTGTCGCCGGAGATCCCGAACGAGAGCATATCAAGATGGTTCACGAAAACGGTGGCATTCCATATCATCCTAACCAAATCAAGTTTGCGGTAGGAATATAATGACTTGAAATTGAAAATTTGGAAAGAAGCTCGTTGCTTTTTGTGAACTGTGGAATACTTCATCTGCAGAGGCTATAGTTCACATATTTTTAGGATAACCTGTCGTCTAAACTTGGTATCGAAACAATGAAAGTTAAAAGGACAGTGTAATGAAATGACGACGGATTCTGCTGAATTTGTGCTATTACTAACTAAAACTCAAAATTGCGCTTATTGATGAATTTCTGTGTTTTGTAAATGCTGTTAATTTTTCTGTAAATTACTTTATTTCTTCTGACTTATATGAATCAAGTATTCCTGGTCAGTTTTATGATAGCTAGTACCAGTTCAAACAGTGTTATAACGTTTTCGTGTCTAAATTCTGCCATTCCCACCTGTTATAATCGAAAAGGTTTTTAAAAGTGCAGCCCCGATTACAGGATTTTCTGCTAAACACATTTCAGATAGGGGAAGATAAAGTTTAATGAGACTTCGTCGTTTACACTTAAAGATTGCAGCATCAGCGGGACAGGTTGTAAAAACATTGAAATTAGCATAATGTTAATTTCATCAATTTGGTTAAATCTTACGAAGATCTAGAAATCTTCAATTTTTCTCAGCCCACTGAAGATTCCTTCTGGCTAATTGACCTCGCCGCTAAACATTATCTGTTCCAAAACCAATTTGGTTTGTACAACGAGTTAAATGTCGAGAGAGAGAAAAAAATTGGTTTTTGGTCCTGATTCGCGATTTTCTGCACTTAAGAAAACTTTCCTCAGAAATATAGAAATTCACAGCAAAAGGTTTCATTGCTAATCATTTAATCTAACAGCTGAGATTTATTAAGATGTCTGTTTTATAAGTTTTACATGTACAGTTCCAATATGGTCATACTCAAAAAGTGCTGAACACAGAGTGAAATAAAACTGCCACTTTCTATGAAATACCAGCGGATAGCCAAGTTTCAATATTTCTTCCCGTTTTTCCATCCATGCCCTAGAATTTTTCAAAATAAAAATTTAAGTTTTCACCTGTATTGAGTTGTACAAATAAGACTTGAACTGGTTTGATTACTAACTTGGACCAATCATATCTTTTAGTGTTTTCTCATTTGGTTTGCCGTAAAAAACTTTAGTAGACCCGGAAATTAAGATTTAATGTAAAGTATTCTGGTAGAACACTTACCGATTCCAGAAATCAAGTGTCACTGCATAATGCCTTCCAATTTGATCTACTTTCGTAATTTTGAGTTGCTCGGGTAATGCAGCCTTTATGGCACCCATCGAAGGCATATGTCCGCCCGGGAAGATGTATTTTTTGATGAAATCACTTGACTTTCTGTAGCGATCGTAATAGGCATCTGGGCATATTATTCCCTAAATAAAGTGGTCTCCACTTCATTCTTCAAACATGAATGTTCATAACACGTTGTCATAATTTTTCAAATCTTATCAACCAACAGCCATTAAATTTGTTTCGATTAATAGTTTGATTCTTTACGGAAAGAGTAACTAATAATCACTTGTTAATGCATAGTGCCTTTTGCTTTGGTCGATAGTGATTTTGAACTTTTCATGTAATGCCCATTGAAATCCAGCTACGCACGGCAGAATCTTATAAATTTTCAAAGGAAAAATCTAAACTAATTTACTGTTATCATGTCAACTCCTTATTACTTATGTCAGTTGGGCGGTCAACATTTTCGGTTGTCAATTTATTTAATTTCACTGTAGTTCAGTGTACGTTTTGCTAAATTTTTGTTGGTTTTTTGTGCTATAGTTTGGTGCTATGGAACTTTATGTCTTGCACCCTCATTGTGCTATTTAAGATGCTGGTTAAGTTTTTCAACAGGTTCCCATTTAATCTTCGGTCATTTAAAGTACTCACTTGCTTCGTTAGTTTATAATTCTTCTTATTCTGTAAAATTTATTAGTAATAAACTAGTAAGTGGTAAAAATTTCGTTTATTGAAACTTGACAACGTGTTTTTTAGCAAACGTACAGAAGACCGCTGTGGTGGGAAAAGTAGTTTTTTTTACTTGAAAGTACAGTTAGTGTACCTGGATAAAGGAGATACCACCGGGTTTCAGAGTACGGTTAATAACTTGGAAAAAGTCAGGAAGAAATTCATGCCCAACAGCTTCAATCATTTCTATGGCAACCACTTTGTCGTAAGTATCCTTTTCCATCCTGTATGATACTGAGGTTTATTAAAATGAACACACTGGCAACGGTCAAAAATCTTTCGTTAACTCGCGATAATTTGAACAACTAAAGTAATGACCTTGAAAAGAAAAAAGCAGAACCTGTAATCAAGCAGTTTAATTGTTATTTTGTCTGCTAAATTGTTTTCTTTGATACGCTGATTTGCCAACGCAAATTGTTCTTCAGACAACGTCAAACCTGTCCACTGACATCCGTACCGCTTAACAGCCCGTACCGCAAAAGCTCCCCAACCACAGCCAATCTCCAATATATTATCAGTCGATTTAAGATCCAATTGCTCCAATACTGTATCATATTTTCTCAGCTGCGCCTCTTCCAGCAATTTCATGTCCGATTTTGTTACTTGTGGAAGAGCTAAAAAAAGTCATGGTTTTGACACTTCTTTGGCGTTTGCCTGCGTTACCTGTATTTATAGTGATTGTTGAGTTACATTGATTTTAATGACTGATTTTGAAAAATGGAAGAATTTTTGTTCAAAATATGCTATAAGAAAATCTTCCCCTAAAAAATTATTCAGATTTAAAATGAAATTTCGTATATTTCAAACGATGTTTAAAAGTTGGTGGTTAAGCTACGTACGTTGTTGAAATATGGCACACGAATATGTCATAGACGGATCAAGGAATTTTTGGAACATATCATTACCAAGATCATAGTGATCTTGAATATTTGCTGCACAACCCTCGACTGTATTTCTCTTGAAATGATGTTGTAGGTAGTTTATATAGAATGCAATTTTTTGGATAATCCATATGATACCGTGAAATAGTTGGCTGAACAGCTTTACACAGTACTGTGAACCATCACGTTTTTGCATACATTTGCCATCTTTTTTGCCCTCTAAATCGCGTTTTAAGCAGACCGAAGATCAGCTAATAATAGATACTTATTCTATTCAACCAACAAACCATTTATTCACTAAACGTTTCAGTTTTAGACAACTGAAAAAGTTCCAAAAAATAGCAGGGAAAATAAGCAAAGCCGTAAGAGATTTTCTAATCAGAAACGTCATTGACCAATATACGAATAACTGCTTACTTTTTGCGCGGATCAGCAGTGTCAACAGGTCCTTTGGTGATGGTTCAGCATCCCAGTCACCGTACATAAAAGTTTCACCAAGACCAATTTTACCATCTAAGAGCATGCGGAGGCAAAATTTTATCGGATTATAAATATATAGCGTAACCTTTCGTTGAGCATCTCTGCAAACTTTCAACCATAAACCCTGAACAATTTTATAGTTTTGTAATCTACTTTTAAAAAATGAGATAGTTTTTTTTTTATTTGAAAAACTTCTTTCCTTTTGTGACAGTTTTGTAATAACATAAGTGCTAGCATCTTAACTGCCTAAATAATCTATACTTATATGATGAATAACTACAAAAAATTTAAGGAATTAATAGGCAAAGCAACTATAGATAATGCGATTAGAATACTTACTTTCCTCTGGCCTGCTTTTTCCCATAGGAGAATTGTTGTTGGCTGTTAACAATACAGACACACAGATTTTCCTCAGATTTTTTGACAAGCTTGTCAAAATGTCTAAAAAACAGTATTGTTAAAAAAGCTCCTTACACAAATTTTTAGAGTTTATTTTACCACGGAAAAAGTGAACATTTTTTCATCAACCAATAACACTGCTGTTGCAATAAAATACAGTTTTTTTTTTCATTTTGGGGTATTTCAATAAAATTTAAGAAAAAATTCAAGCAGAAGAGAAAAGAGAGGAGAAAAACAAAGTAGCCAAAAAAAAAAACAAAACAAAAAATGTAGTTTTGACAACTAATGACAGTGTTAAAGACTAGATCTCAGATGCATTAATAACCAATTGATCAACAGCAATACCTTTTAATAAATGGAATAAAAATTAACTGTAGTAACAGCTGATAAACACTGCCGAAACTAAGGCTGTCCGATTTCACATTCAATCGGCCCATTGATCTGTGAATAGAAAAAAAATTTTTTTCTACTGCTGAAACTTTAGCATAAATTAAGCATTGAACTGAATGCTGAAAGCGTTTCGTTGATCGTTTAACAAATTGACAAGAAGTCCAAAAACAAACAAACAAAAGGAACAAAAAAGGTCATCAGTTAGTGTAATAAACTTTTCCGTTAAACTTATTTTTGTGTTAAAGATAAAAATGACAAAACAATTTAAATGTATCAGCGAAAAAAACAGAAAATTAGAAAAAGGAAAAGAAAAAGGAAAAGAAAAAACAAACATCAACACAAATGTTTATTAGTTAATTTGTGCAACAAGAGATTTTACTGCGGTTTACTGAAGTATGTGATCAGTTTATTGATACAAATTTTATTTGTACATTTCTGTGAGTTTTCTTTTGATTAGCGGTGCTTCAAAAAATAAAAAGAAAAAAGAAATTTGACCAATTTTTCATAAAGTCAAATTAAGCAGAAAAAAAAACCGAACAAAAATTATTAATTCTTTGTTGATTGTATATTAAAGGTCTAATAACTAAACTAAAAAAGGTTCAAGATTAGTTTCAACTATAGCAGTATAGAGCACATTATTACGTCTTATAAATCTATACCAAGAACAATATATCTGTATTGCTGTGGTTCAAAACAGCCATAAAACATTGCTGAACAGTTATTTGACCTGCAGTTGATGTGTCATTGTAGTTTCAGTCGCTTGTGACGATGATGATGAGAAGTCAGATTTAAGACTACAAAACAGATTCAACATACTGATAGTAATTATGGTCAGACATTAACATCAACTGGTTTTTTGTTGTTTTTTAAAATTGAACAACTAGTAAATTGATTAATCACTCTACTAAAAAAAATAATAAGCATTTTTTCAGTAATTTACAGTTTGTCAAGTTGTAACTTCTATTTCAAAAGCAATAATATCCAGTGGGTTCAGACAACTGCGAATAATCAACAACTGTCCTGATGACGATACAGGTAATAGATGAATACAACTGATGATACAAAATAAAAACAATTTAGCTTTTTTAAGCCATAAAAATATATGCTACGGTTTTGATACATTAAACAATTAAATAGAAGTCGATTATCTTCTAAGATTAAACTAACGTTTTAGTTGTGCAAATTTTCTATTTTGTTTAACAAAAAGCGAAATTGGCAAAATGGATGTACGTTGATGACGGAAAGACAAAAACCTGAAATTGAATAGATTAGGTGCAAAGGGTAAAGAGAAGAAAGAAGCAGAAATATAAAAGAAAAATTAAATATCTTAAAATATGTGTCAACTGTTAAATCAATTTTGTCTATTATCTGTCGTCAATCCTCCTTCTGAACCAAATTTTACCAGATCGATGTAGTTTGGCAATTTTTAATCACTCTTTCTGGTTTTTTTTCCTTCTCTGTTCTTCACAAATTTTTTCTTCTATCTTCGTTCGGTTTTTTCTTTTCTTTCGCCATAGACGATTCATGCAAGTCATTTTTTCTTTTTAGTGTCGCTGTTGCTGTCGTTGCTGCTGCTGCTGCTGGTGGTGCTGCTACACTTTTTCTGCTTTGTCCAAATTTGAAAATTCCTAACCACAGAACACAAAAAAAATTATTTTTACTTCCGGAAGACCAACTATCAGCAGCTATTTTTTATTTTTATCGGTATCATTGATACCTTGAAATATTGCCTAGAAAAGTAAGCAAAATAATGAAATCTGTGAAATAGTTAACACTGTTTAACAGCACTTGTTCGCTTCTTTTCTCTTCCGCTTACTCATCCAAAACACAATTGCTGTACTTCATCAACTGCAGAAAAAAGTCAACGGAGTATGATGTTTTAAAAAACTAACACAAAAAAAATCAACTACTTAAAGTTACAGTAACCGTAAGCCGGCAAACAGTTTAACGGTACTGTAAAAGGTAAAAAATAGGCAAAAACTGTTCAACAAATAAACTGTTGCGATCAATCAGTGAGGAATTTTTCTTGTATCGACTGACTTTTTCGCTAATCAAAATATCAAAATGAACTTTCAATTGTTCAATAAACTGTTACATCAAGAAGAAAGGAAGACCTATTAAGCGTTAGAATTTTACAGATGTCATCATCATTCTTTGATTATTTCACATCAATTCATCCATTTCTTTTTTCAATGTTTTTAATTAATTGAAATTATTTGACGTTATTTTTGTCGGCACAATTCATCCAAACCGATAAGCTTATCGAAAAAACCAAAATCACTACTTTGAAGAAGGCCTTACTCTGCTGATAAACAAAGACAAATGTTGGATCCAAATTTATTTTCTGCATAACTCCAATTGTGGAAGTTTGGGTATACCTGTGCTGCATGTACTGATATTTGACATAACGGATCACGGCTTAGCAGAATAAACAAAAAAATAATCAAGGCAAGTATTTTTTCCTTTCTCACCCAAAAAATGACCTTTTCGCTTTTGTGGTTGAACTTTGAAAACTATATTAAACAAAAATCAACGAATATTGCTCTAAACAATACTAGATCCTTGTTTTTTTTTCGCACATTTTTACCCCAACACCAAACAGTAAATTACAGACAACAACAAACAACAACATTAACAGTGGTGGCGGCACTAAAAACAACAACTGTGGTAACAAAGTTCAAAATCCACTGGTTCTTTCCAGTGTGCGCCTTATATTGTCTTCCAATCTGCCAACCTGTTCAATGGTTCCGTCGCAAATGCACCAGTATTATTTACCCTACCCCTGTCACCACTCTCACGTACAAGGTTGCCACTAAATATCGTTTCTCTATTACATTGTCCCATCGAATCACTAAACTGTCAAAAAAGCAGTAACTGTAACTGTTATGGTTCACAGCAGTAACAGTGAAGGGGAGTCTTCAGAAGATTAAACCTGGGCGAAATGATTTGTTCAATAATACAGTCAAAAAAATGATGTCAAATATCAATATTACCTATCTAAAAATCCTCCTTAACGAATAAGTCAAATTACGTATTGCATAAAATTTCCGCAGTATCTTTTGAAACGCTGCTCCTGACTGTCACTAACAGAAAAAAACGTATTACAAGAAGATATCTCCAAAAAAGGCCATTTCTTTTTGGCCTTTTTAAGACATCTCATTGTCTTCCCGATATCACTACGAAAGGAGACCCAAAAAAAGACCAATGATAAAATTGATGGCAATTTTTTTTCCGCAACCCCTACACCACTAATTTGAAACTAGAATTCTGTCTTCTGGAAACAGAATAAAGAATGCTACCTGTTAGTCGACCATGAAATCTTTTTTCTATAAAACAGTGAATGCGTACAGTTGTAACTCAACCCCCATCTAAATTTAGAAAGTGCTTGTTTTATTGAAAATAACAGCAGTTCGGTGTCGGTCAGTCCATTGGACAAATGTTTTCCATTCAGTTTTTAAACTACAGAACTAACATTACAATCAGAATTACTCTGTAGCCCAACACAAACAATCATAGCTAGCAATAAACCGAGTAGCAGGTGATACAGATAATCGACAGGCAAAGCTAAGCGACGTGTAATTCTTATTCGCATTTCTTTGTGTAACAAAGCAAATTTTTTTAATAAGAACAATGCTTTATTGTACTGTCGCATAACGACACTCGACACTGGGGAGTCCCCAAACTACCCGTAACGAGGCATAAATTTAGTAGCTGATGAATAATTTGACCTTATTTTGACGTCTGGCTGTTACGCCTCTATTTATGCATCTGTTCTCTTCACAGATTTTGGACGCATTTTCTGAAAATGGAAAAAATTTAAACTAATAGTTAAACGAATAAAATGAGGAATTTTGCCGATTTTCATGTAAACAACGGTTACTGCGCTTGCCAGGAAATTTTAATTTCTGTACGAGTTAAGTGAGGAAGTAATCAAAATTGTTTGCAGTTTATACTCCAAGTACCATTCGCTGCAAGAAAAATATTAAATGCCATTTTGTTGATTTTAAGGATAAAAAACAAGCAGAAACCTTTGCACGGCGACGTATAGTTGAAAAACAATACGGTGAAAACGGCGGTAGCGGTATGAAACGACCAGAGCCTTTCGCAACCTTCAATTCTCCATTTTCCCATACAACCCTGCCGGCAGAAATGGTCATTTCGCAAACGCCGTGGATCTAAACCAAGACATCTTATACAATGTATGTTCGTGTGGGCTTGACCATGTAGTTACGGTGAAGAGTATGGCCTATTTCCCACGTAATCCTTTACCTGAATACCTTCAAAAATGTTTATTTCACATGCATGGTGATGTTTACTCGCAGAAATGATACGTCTTTTGTTGGGATTCCAAATAATAATATCAGCATCCGATCCTACAGCTATACGTCCCTTAAGCATCAATGAGTGTTCATTTAATTTCAGTAGTTACAATTGAAGTGTCCGACAAATAAGTCTCATGTAATGGAATGATAGCAAACCTTTCTAGGGTAGATATTGAAAATTTTTGCTGCTGTTGAACTGTAAAAAAATAAATAGATAAGTAAATCCTGCTATATACATTAATATTGAAAGTTTTGAGAAGATTTAAATATATACAAGTATTTGGCTAAAAATTTAGCACCTGGTAATTTCTACAAAGCGCATAAGATCAAGTTTTCCACTGCAGACACCCTTCTCCCAAACTATACTCATACGGTCCTCTATTCCGTTGACGCCATTTGGGATTTTTGTAAAATCTTTCTTTCCGACTTTTTTTTGAGCAATGCTGAACGTACAGTTGTCTGTTCCAACCAGGTGGAGATCACCACTATAATAACTGCTGCATTCAATAATTTTCAGTAGACCTTTTTAAACATAACAAAAAAATCTATTCAGCAAGTCTAACAAATAAAATGAATAGGCTAAACCACCAGGCCAGAAGATCCATTAAATAATTTTTTGCCGTTGAATCCCTACTTAACGGGGGAGACATGACATGTGCAGCAGCGAAAGTCCAGTCCTCATCGTAATATGAACTACCATCTAAATGGCCCTAACAGTAGTAAATGAACAGCAGCAAGAACACAGAAAGTAAAAATGTAGATGACGAAAAGAAAACCGATTGCTAACGCTGCAGCAATGGCTTCTCCAAAAACCACACTTCCACGTTTCCTATGTTTCCCAACGTCGATTGCAGCATCTTTAGACATGACATGAACTACGTATAACGGACAGTTTGCCTGGGCTGCTAAAACGCAAGCACGATTAGTAGCTTCTTCTTCGATCTGAAATAATCATCTTAATGTAATTTGGTACCACAGTTATTTCAACAGCAGCATTATTGAACCACTTTGGTGCTCAAGAAAGGTTAAAGGAATAACTCTCTTAGTCACCCCTAATTAATGGTGTACTTACCTCTTCAGGACGGCTCTGAGGATGTCCTTCTGGTCCAGTAATACCTTTCGCAAGAAGCTCGTGCTGCTTAACAACTATAACATAACCATTTTCAGCATGTACACGCGCAAGAGCACCTAATTTTGCACAGTGGCGCATTGCGTGATAGAATTCTCCATCGTTCAACATATAATCTGGATATGCCAGGAAGAATTTAAAAGAATTAATTCCTGCAAACAATAGCTAGTAAAATAACTTTAACTGTTGAGCATACATGAAGTAAATTAATGGCTTCTAAATAAAACAACACAAAAATAACGGTTAAACCATTCTAGGAAAGAAATTACCATATTCCGGTTCAACTAAAGTTGCCATCATCTCCATAACTTCATCATTAAACGTCGATATTGCCACAGATAAGCCATAATCGCAACAAACCTCAAAAAGATTTTGATTTTATCAAAATAAAAAATGTTTTGGAAGCACCGGTAGTACTTTAAACACTTAAGTGGAAACCTTTTGATCAGCCATTTTTCTCCATTGGTTGTATGCTTCAAGCGGGGATTCTCCCTTCACTGGCATCACAAAATCGATAAACTTGAAAAAATCCTTATTTATTCACTTTAGTAAAATTTTGAAGTTATGAGACGAAAAAAATTAACGACACAGTGAGGTAAATGTTTGTTGATCAATTACCATAGTTGTTCCGCCAGCTAAAGCAGCTCGAGAACCAATGTAAAAATCATCAACGGAAACTTGACCCATAAATTTTAGTTCTAGATGTGTATGTGGATCGATTCCTCCTGGCATAACCAATTTGTCTGTTGCATCAATAACACGTTCAATATTTTCTGGTATTTTTAAGTCTGTTCCGACGGCTCTATACAGTTGGTCCATTTACATTTGTACAATAAAAGTACTGTTTGAGAATGGCTTTTAACACCTTTCCTCATTTCTTCTGATAATAGTATTTCCAAAAACTACGTTGACCACAAGATTTATCGCCAACTTGTACATAGCCTACTTGGAATACTCAGAAACAGGTAAGTGAAAAACATACGTAATAATACCATCTTCAATAACAACGTCAGCTTTTCGCATCCAATCGCAGTTAACCACCGTGCCATTACGAATCCAAATAGACATTTGAAACCAAATTTAGAAGTTTTATGGCAATACCAGCTTGAAAAACGCTATTTTGGAGAGAGTTTATTATTGAGCCATCAAAGGTTTTTATTGTTTATTTCTGTTTTATATTTGCTTATTGACTAGTACAATTAGTATTTACTCGCCTATTTAAGTAGCTAGATATTGCAACTAGCTATCTTGAAACAAAAACTAACAAGCATGATTAAAGAAAGAAGAAGAAATTTTTTAGACTGTTTTAGAAGGTGAACTTCTAGCTGTATAAATCAGGACAACAATGCCGAGTATCATTTGTATCGGTACCAACTACTGGAATTTAACTGCGATCTGTCAACGGCGTCCTTTAAACTTGGTACAGTAAGTTGACCGGTTGAATACAAATGAGGTGCTTAGAAAGCTAGTTAAATAATCTTTACCTAAACTGAATGTACTTATTTAATCAAATAAATAATGAAATTTAAAATTCATACTTATAGATTTGTCCTGTATTTTTATTTAAGCTACAAAAACAATTTTTCTTACTGGTGCATTGATTAACAAAAACTGTCAAACAACCCATATAGCTACAGAAAAAAATATGTTACCGTTGTAGTTACAGAAGTTTACAAATATATGATGTAAAAGTTGTGTGACCGAAAAGAAACAATTTGACCGAATGTTCATGATGAACATGGTGAAATGTTTTTCAGTAACCATAAAAATTATTGAAAAATTCAATAAAGCAGTTATTTTAAAAGATTTAAAATATTGTAAAAATATATGCTGTTAATTTTAAATCATTTAACAGGTGTTATTTATAAATATGCGAACAATTTTTCTTTTTTTGGTTTTGAAACTTATTAATAGATTTGAAAAGTCAAAGAGCGAAAAGAAAAAAAAGCGATGATTAGGACAAGCAAATGAGCATTGACTGCCATATGGAGAAGTTTATTTTCTTTTTTTTTTATTTTATCTTATCAAGTATATTTTCCCGTGACACAATTTTTGGTATAACTTATCGGAAGATAACTGTAATTTGGTTCAGAACAGTCCTGTTATTCTGTTGAAGCTGTGTGTTCTTTCCTTTTTTTTTTAAATATAGAGAAAAAAAAAGCAAGTAAAAGTGGCGGACAACTTTAAAAAACTGACTTGCCATAACCAAAAAAGTACACGCTGAAATGTTTTTGTTTATATTAAACTATTTCTTGACTTTTATCAAAATTTTGCTAATATATCACAATAAATAACCGTTAGCTTTAATTACCATCAACATTTTGCATTTCTTAACAGTTCTGCAGGTGTGTAAACTATGTTGGCCTAAAGATAAGAACAATGTATCGAAACCATTGAACATCATCAAATAATAAAGATTACTGTAAAATGACCAACATTTTTACTTTATTCTGCCGTTTGATCCAACTTTCATGATGAAAGCAAAATAATTTTTGAAAAAGAGAAAACAAAAAAAAGTAAAGTTTTTGAAGAAAAAAAGCAAAACTTTTCACAAGAACAATCATTTCAATTTAACGCGGTTTTATTGCACCATTTTTTAATCATCAAATTTATTTTTGTTAAAGCAACAGTATGTTTCAGTATTTTTTCTTCTGCCTAATGTATGCTTATGCTTTTCTGTTTATAATTATTTGATACAAGTCGTAAGTATACAAAGTACTTAATAATGACTCTCTGACAACTCTCTGTTAACCGTTACGGTTTCGTCATGGTGGCAGAAAGCGCCCGCTTCGTGCATCTGCACCGATTACTTGTATTTTTGAATTTACTGCCGTAAGTTTCACGACCAACCTTACCGGTTCTCACTGATCCCCACCCAAAAATTTACTATTTAATCAAAATTCCTCAACAGTTTGAAGTCACTTGTTAATCCAAAATAAAAATAAAGCTTGTTTTTTGGAATGCCGAAAGACGATGAAACACTCGGTCACAATTCTGTGGCCTTCTACCGTAAATTCTCAGACAATTACCGTAGTCGCAACCCAAACGTTCTTTTCACTTTTCTTTTTAAAAAAATGGAAAGTAAAGCGTCAGTTCTGTACAAAATGTAAAGTGATGAGAAAAAGTAACTTAGCTTTTCTAAAAGAGAATCGCAATTAATTTTTCTTTGGTTCATTCCCAATCAGGTAGGATCAGAAAGAGCAAGGACTTTAACAGGTCAACTTTATGAATTTTTTCCATATTAAATATATCTGCAAGAAAATTTTGTCCATTGTTAAAGACTATACATCAAAGACCTCACACGGTAAAATCTACAGCGTCATTTTCGGCAGAAGTAGTTCCGGCTATTGTCGTAACTTTTTGAGTTATTTCACCTATTTCACTTTTGCTTCGTACAGCTTTACTGCCGTTTTTATTTTCGTAGTAGAACTTGAGTTTCATCCTCCTACATCTAACACAGAAAAAAAAAAAAAAGCAAAATGGTTTTTATGAGGGGCGAACACTGTTCACATATAGCGTTACATATGTGGATACGTAGGAATTCATTCAGATTATTCGTTAATTGTCAGCAAAAACCACAACAAGATGAGATTCGGTTTTTACCCGATTTACCCACCCTCCATCTGCAATATCTTCATTCCTGTCCCTTTTACCTTTCTCCTTCTTTTAAGGCCCTTCTAGATACGTATCATAAAAGTGTCTCAAATTTAAATAGAGTCACATCAGACATTTACATTGCTCAGTCAATCCGGTAAAGTTATTGGCAAATAGATAGGACAAGCTAACTGTTGAAACGGAAAGTTGTCGCTTAATTGTGTTTCCAACTATATGAAATCTGGAGTAGCCTGATTCATAATTAGTGACAATAAGTTAGACAAATGTGGACAAATCTGACTGATAGGCTTTGTTTAGTATGCTGTACGGGTCAAGCAAAGCTAAAAAATTAATTCATTCATTTCCAAATCCATTACAAATCAAAATGAGCTTCTCAAGTAGGCTCATAGCAAACTGTTTATTTTTTCACAACTTTAAACAAGCTATATATGGTATACTAAGCCTACAGATAGTCATTAAATTCTCAATAAATGGTTCCTCCTTCCGTAATCAGTCTCTGCTTGGTCTGCCTAATTACTTTTATTTCTACGATTTCTTTAGCTTATTTCGTTCTCATTTCTATCATCAGTTATTGTTTTTCAACAGTTTTTCTTTTCACTTAGTTCTTTATTTTTTATTACGGTTCACGCATGGGATGCAATGCAGCTACACAAAACCCCATAAATTTAGCCTAAGCAATCAGCTCTTCCAAATTCAAAAACACAGCGCACTGAAATCTGACGGAACGAGAGGAGAAAACTTTTTTTACCCCACAACAATCCTCAAAATGTAGTGCTGTAGTTAAAGCACTTTTTGGCTGTAACAGTAGGTAGCGTAGTTAAATAGCAATCCGAATGAAAATACTTGCGGCAAAAATGACGTTTTAAGTTTTGATGGCTGTGTTGTTGAGGTATGCCGTGTCAGCAACGATGTGAGGGTTTCTGATTGCTTCTCCTTCCTAGCAGGGGCGTTCAGGTAAAGATTTTTTGTATACTTTGGATTCTCAAAGCTTTGTTTTCACTGCATTAAATTACGGTCGAAAAAGAAAGGAAGAAGTGTCAGAAGTAGGTGTTAGAAAAAGAGGAAAGGAAAAAATGATTGTTGTGGGTTTGTTTTTTGATCTGGTTTTGCTGATTTCTGACGCTCGTAAAAATGATTATTAAGCAATATTTTACTCCCTGGAGAATGGAGGCTTTTACTGTAGGACTGTCTTTTATGAATTTTCTTTAGACATCGTTGACTGAGCAGTTTAGGGCCTTAAAAGCAATTATAAGAGTTTTTCTTATCAGCTTGACACGCAGTTCTGTTCTCAGTGCTGTGTAAGCAGTTGATTTTCGCACAGCATAAACCATTAGCGTTTTTTGGTTGTGTGAAAAAATCATGTATTAGGAAATCTCGCGTTTATTCTGTTTTACATGATCAGAGTTGGACTTAAAGTTTTTTAGATTGCTGAAATGGTATAATTGTATTTCTTTCCTTCAGTGGTCATAGTGGAGAAGCTGAAGGAATGACGGTACTTTTTATAGGTCACTGTTCAGTGTACAAAGGATCAGTGACACCTCTGTAAAAAATTAGGTAAACTGGTATATTACAGTAAGAACAGAAGCAAAAAGTGACAGAAGATAGTCACTGCTTTCAGAAATTGTCACATTGCGAGGAAATGACCACTTATACATTGAGATTTTTCTTTGGCTACCCAGTACATTAGAAAAGGATGATTTACTATAGATGCCTTTAAAAGAAAGACAGGGGAAGTGCTTGCATTTCTGTAATGGACATGTTTAAACTCGGATTTTTGTCATTCTTACATTTACAGTAAGCGAACAGTCGAAATTAATTTGGCTCCATAGAATTCAGTAGTTTGTCTTGAAAAGTCCTTTGTTGGTGTGTCGTAGAATGTTTTTTTAAAGTGGAACGTCATATTCAGGCGGGAAGCGCACTGAAGAAAATAAGGTTGGTTAGCAAGTATCCAGAAACTTTAGTACATATACTATCCGTCATATCAGTTTTAAGACGTTTAAGTGAGATACCGGTCAACAGCATCTCAGAGCTTTATCTAGAAGTTTGTTGGATTACAGTAGGCAAAGCAAAGGAAGCATCATTGTACATACACAGTACACATCTGGAATATCCAACGACACGCCTTGTTAAATTGTACTGGTAGTGTAATGGAAACTGATTTTTGCTGGGTGAATTATTTCTAGTTATGAGTAGAGAAGAATAATTTTTTGGCCAGGGGGAAGTGGAAAGGAGTTAATTGGTTTTATTGAGGTCCTCAATATTTTATGCAGTTTTTTGAACGAAATTCTTTTTTGAAACCCGATATTAGTTTTTGTTTCATACAGTTTGAGAGTTCATCAATCACTAACTCAGATCTGTTGCATAAATCCGATGTTTGATGCATAATGCAGATAATGGAAGAAGAGAGGTTCGTGCACTGGTTTTCAGTGGGACTTGGTTTTCGAAATTAGAGCTATGTTTATGTGGTTTTATTTTGACAAGGTTCATTCTTTAAGTTGTTATTAGTATTAGAGTGAGAGGACAATCGAGGCTGGGAACATAGGGTCTTTAAAACTAATATCATTCTTCGTGTTTTAAGTCGATGACACGTCTACGGTGTTGTAAAAACAGTCTGTTTATTAACATTCACAGTTTTTAAACAATCGTAGAGTTTCTAATAAGCGGAAGTTGAAGCATTTTCCAGGACTGCGTAGAATTTGTAAAAATGATTTTTGGTTCAAACGATTAAATCGTATCGTCAACTTGTATTGTGGGGGTTGTGGTCGAACCACTGTAACAGTAAGAGTTACTACAACCGATCTGTTGCATATAGCTTCATTTGCGAATTTCTGTTATAACAACCTTAGAGGGGTGTTCAATTACTTTTGTCTTAATTAGTTGGTAAGAATAGTCGCGAGTCGGAACGGATCGCATAATCAAAAACTAATTGTTGTTTCCGTGCTTAATGACTTATCAAATAGCCATTATATTATAGCATAAGCGGCATACGAAGAATGATTCTTTAATGGTTTTTGATCGGTTGTTCACGTGGTCAGACTGCTGTCACTATAGTAAGTTGAGTTCTTTTAGTGCATAAGTGTTGTTTTTTTTTGCTGTTACTATTTGTTTAATTTTTACTCGTCTTATAGAAGGAAAGTAGTATTATGATTGTCAATTGCTCACTTTTGAGATGCTGTTGAAAAGTAATTCCTAGTTTTATATTTTTATCGAAACTGAGTCGTTAGGAAAACAAATAATCTGCATTAGATCTGTTCAGTTCACTTCTTCCCTCCTGCAGCTGTCCGCAAAGTTGCTCACAGAAAGAACGTTCTTGTTAGTCAAACAGACTATAGATTTTTTTTTAGTTACGTTAAGTCTGAAACTACTCACTTTTGTAAACTTGGTTCGATAAGGTTTTCGACAAGTAAAAAAACAGTGTAAAATTCTCTCATCTAATCTATGCGTGCATTATTGTTGTCACTGTGCTTCGTTAACATAAACTAGTGCAGTTTTTTTTTTTTTTTTTTTTGAAACTCGCTTATTGATCATCGTTCAATTTTTGGGCCAAGCTTTCCTGTTACGCTTTTCGTTCGTCTGTTGTTTGTGACCACCCACAGAATTCGTTTGGAGGATAAACTGGCTGTTCTTGCTTTTGTTGTCTTCCCGCCAATCTCCTAGAAACTGCTATTTTTGTTTCTTTGTTGTAGAATTTAGAATTCCTTTTTTATTGCAAATCAGCAAATCTAGCGTTTTGTTGGTCTAACGTTCAAAATACATTTACTTCTATCTGCATGCGTCTTTATGGATTCGGTTGCGCTTTTTGCGTTTTGATGGTGTTTATTCGTTCTTATGAAAGTTTTTAGATTTGGATGGATTGTTTGCTTGAACTTGGAAAATGTTAGCTTTACTTTAAAAAGCTTTTTCAGCGATTTCTTTGCGTTTCCGAAATTAGTTAGTTCCATGAGTATTTTTTGAGTGAAGTGAGGTTGTTTTAAATTGTTTTTTTTTTTAAGAATCTTCTAGGATCCCTTACCAAGTATGTTTTAGAAGAATGGTTGATTCTTTGAAAAGTGACTAAAAAATTCTTTTGAAAGATTTGCTTAAGTATTTTTTATACCTACTCACCAATGGTTAAAGTCCCATATTTTTTTTTGTATGTTAAGCTTTTGAGTTTTTGGAACAACAGGGCTAGAACGTCGACAGAAAAGATCTTTGTTAATGATGTTTTTCAGATGGTTTTTCACGAATTCTCTTCTAATTACGCAGTTTTTCTGGCTTGTAATTGTTATCTCGCCAC